AAAGATGAGCTCTTCAATGAGTTTTTTACTTCTGTATTCCTGAACACAGATCAAGACAAATCCCCCAATTGGATTAGAGATGAGCACAGGAGGGAAACCAGCCCACCAACTGTTAGCGCCGACTTAGTGAAGGGACACTTGGAGGGGATGGATATCTTTAAGTCAGCAGGCCCGGATGATCTTCATCCCAGGGTGCTGAAGGAACTGGCTAGCATCAAACAGAACCACTGGCATGGTTATTTGAGCACTCACGGTGCTCAGGTCAGGTCTCAGAGAACTGGAAAAACACCAGTGTGGTCCCTATTTTCAAGAAGGGGAGGAAGGAGGATCAGGGTAACCATAGGCTAGTTAGCCTCACCTCTATCCTTGGGAAAACTTTTGAAAAAATTATTAAGGATCACATTTGTGGGAGTTCAAAAGAATAATGTTGAAAGGCAACCAGCGTAGGTTCATAGCAGGTAGATTCTGCCTGACTAACCTTGTTTCTTTTTATGGCTGGGTCACAAAATGCTTAGATGCAGGGGATGAGGTAGATGTCATCTACCTGGATCTTAAAGCCTTCGGTATAGTATCTCATCCTATTCTCATAAATAAACTGAGTGGCTGTGACGTAGATGATTACACAGTCAGGTGGGTGGCAAATTGGCTAATGGGATGCAGCCAGAGAGTGGTGGTGGATGGGTCGGCATTAACCTGGAAAGATGCGGGCTGCGGAGTTCCCCAAGGTTTGGTCCTTGGACCAGTGCTGTTCAATGCCTTTATCAGTGACTTGGATGAGGGCATGGAGAGCACTCTGCCAAAATTCGTGGATGACGCCAAATGATGGGGTTAAGTAAACATACTACTGGGCAGGGAATGAATCTAGCCATATCTGGACAGGTTGGAGAAGTGGGCAGAACAGAATAGGATGCAATTCAACAAGGACAAATGCAAAGTGTTGCACCTAGGGAGAAGGAATCACCAGTACACCTACAGGTTGGGGGATGACCTTCTCAGAAGCACTGTAGCAGAAAGGGATCTCACAGTCATAGTTGACTCCAAGACGAACATAAGTCATCAATGTGAAGAAGTGATCATTAAAGCTGACTGCACTTTATCATGCATTAGCAGGTGCATCACAAACAGGTCCAGGGAGGTAATACTTCCCCTCTATGCAGCTCTCGTGAGGCCACAGCTGGAGTCCTGCATCCAGTTTTGGGCACCGTACTTCAAGAGGGATGTGGATAACCTTAAGAGGGTCCATATGGTTAGGAGCCTGCAGGTAAGTCACTACGAGGAGAGATTGAAGGACCTGAATCTCTTCAGCCTCCGCAAGAGAAGGCTGAGAGGTGATCTTGTGGCCATCTATAAATTCATCAGGGAGGACAGCAAGGGATAGGAGATGCTCTGTTTACCAGGGGACCCCTTGGAGTAACTAGAAATAACAGCCGCAAACTGACAGAGAGAAGCCTCAGGTTAGACATCAGGAAGAACTTCTTTATGGTTGCCAGAATCTGTAATGGGCTCCAAGCAGAGGTGGTGTTCTCCCCTACTACCTTGGGGGTCTTTAACAGGAGACTGGACAAGCACTTGGCTGGGGCCATCTGACCCCAACGCTCTTTCCTGCCCGGGGCAGGAGGTCAGACTTGATGATCTGCTGAGGTCCCTTCCGACCCTAATATCTATGAATCTATGAGTAGCACTGCCAGGGCCAGGGGACTGTGGGTTGGGAGTGAGGGGCACCAGTAGGTCTGGGGGGTAGGGAAACTGTGTTTGGGGAGTGAGGGGGCTGGCAGGGCCAGGGGGCTATGAGTCAGGAGTGAGGGGCACCAACACGGCCAGGAGGCTGTGGATGGGGAGTGAGGGGTACCTGGAGGGCCAGGGGGCTGTGGGTCAGGAGTGAAGGGCACCAGCAGGGCCAGGGGACTGTGGGTTGGGAGTGAAGGGCCCCAGCAGGGCTTACAGGGCTGTGGCTTGAGTGTGAGGGGCAACAGCATGGGCAGCGGCAGGGCACTGGCATATCAGGGCTGCTCAGCCCCACATAGTGGGGGCGGAGGGACAGCTGCAGGTGGACCTGAATCCTGGTGAATGAAGGGGGCAGGGGTAGCTCTGATTTTCTATGATAAAAAACACAAATCAGATGCCAAAATATACAGGTATTTAACATTTATTTTATTATAATGATTAAGGTACTGGTAGGCTTCCACATCACTTTAAAATTGTAAATATATCAGTAAAACATTGTGTTCAACTGATACCTATACATATATAGTGGGGTTTTTTTTATTTTAATTGTGGAAAAACATGGATTTGGGGTTTTCTAACCAGAGATTTTGGGGTTTTTTAAATCAGAGAATTTGCGATTTTTAAACAGAAAAAACCAGGATCCCTGGTTATTTGTCAAATCCTGAATTTGTAATCCCCATATTGGGGTACACAGAAAACTCTTGTAGCACTGTAGCCGTCTAACAATGTCAAGCCTCAGGGCTTTTCCTGGTTGCCAATTTCAGGCAAGAAGGATTTTTTTCCCTTTGTGAATGCTACTTGGCTTCTGGATTATCTTTCCACTTTCCTCTGAAGTTTTGGGATGCTAGACACAGCGAAGACTGGGTGCTTTTTGCTGGGGTATGCTGTGGCACCCACTAGTACTCAGAAAAATCAGAGGCTCATGGAAAAGGGCCTTGCTTTTCTATTTACAGTCATACCAATTATGGAATCAGGAATATTTTTTCCCTAGGTCAGATTGACAGAGATTGTGAGGATTTTGGCCTTCTACTGCAATGCAGGGCTCGGTCCTTCTCCTACGATCTTCTAAGCATACATTTACCAACCACTTCCCCAACACTGCAGTGGCAGGGCACTGGCAGTGTGTTTATCTCCCTTGCTTTTACTTTTGGGATATTATAGGTGGTCCTCAGCATTTTGGAGAGTGCTCCTTGTCATTCTGGGTGAGGGTTTAATGTGATGGTTTTGGGTATTTTTGGGTAAGTGATCACCTGTGAATGCAGGAGAGAGGACTTGATGGCCCAAAGAGTTTACATTTTGAGGTTTTTACATATATGTAATAATTTATAACTGCTTCTAGTTTGTTTGTTTTTTTGCATTAATGCAGGCATTTAATTTGTCTTTACTGTAAATCATGCCTTACCTGTGCCAGCATATTTGTCTGTCATGTTGATATCAATGTCCAATTTAAAATTCAGCATAGTCTTGATAACATCATCACTGCCTTTCCCAGCCGCCCACATAAAGGATGTTCTTCCCTCAAGGTCTGAATCATCTTTCACAGAGGGATATTTCAAAAATACTTCAACTGTTTCCTGCAAGAAAACATCACTGAATAAGAATGCTATTGAAATTAACATAGAAAGAAGTCTGTAATGACAGAAGAAACTATTGTTTTGTCTGTCTTAGCAGTTTTTCTGAAGAAGCAAAACAAAGCTTCATTTTTCCTTCTTAAGGTTGAATACAGTAAAGTCTCATAACAACATTCCTGGCTCATAATATCACCACTAATGTTGTGTCAGAGAATTATCAGCCCTGGCCACTGTTTGATTGTGTTATTATGACTTTTCTCGTAATTATTATTTTGCTTCCAACTCTTTTTTGATTTCATTTCTTATTCTTTTTTTTTTTACTTCATTTTATTTTTAAATGGTACATGTATCAAAAGAAGGTACAAAATACAACCATCACTGTGAAGGAGATAATGGGACAACACTAACAGCAAAAATCATGTTGAAATACAGCATATGAGAAAATATTTCTATTTTCAAGTTTGGATAGGACTTTACATGATGTTTAATTTATCAAACAACACTAGGCTATTCTATAACATATTCACTATGTGACAAATGACTTGTTTCTCAAATAAAACACTATTATTATTATTTAATACAGTAATGGGGTTATTGAATTACTGAAATATAGTAAGCAGAAAGATGACAAATCATTGTAGCCAAGACCAGGCTTTGCACTCTGTAACTGACATATTTGAAGACTGTCTCTTTTAACTAAAGAGAAAAACTCTTTTTGTGGTGATGGGTTTGTTTCAAGCTCTCAATTATGGACCATTTATTTCCAGTTTCAGGCTCAGTGATTGCATTACAGCTTTAAAAATGGGATATTATAAGAAAAAAAACCCACAAATAGTTTAAAACATAAACACAGAAATCCCTCCTTCTGGCTTTCTCTCAGCTAGAAATCTTACCTCTCGCTCCCTGGCTGATGTCTGTGCTCTGAGCTTCCAGGCCCCCACTGACTGAAACTCAGGAAGTTATATTGTTCCAAAGATAAATACAAGTTTTTGGGCTCAGTGTAGGGGTAGCTGGGTGACATTTAATGGTCTGTGATACACAAAAGTTCAGACTGAGATGCTCTAATGATCATTTTCTGACCTTAAAGTCTAACATGCAGAATAACAAGGACTCCCTTCCAAACAAACCCACTTGTTTAACTAATGTTGATTCTGGGTGAGCTCTGGTAGTAAAGGGAGGAATAGTAAATACCACCTTAGGGGAAGAAACTGTCAAGTCAGAAGAACTCACTCTCTGAACTCTGATGGCCCATTACAAATGCTGTGGTACGGATACTGTATTAGTAGCAAAGTGTGCAATATTTTACATTTTCTTTTTGAATCAAAAAGTGGAATTCTATTTCCCTGTAGTCACCTAAGTGGCAATTTTTTAATTAAAGCAATTGTGGCACATAAGTGCAGGGAAAAATGTTATTTCCCAGCAGTGTAGACACATGTATCTGCTAGCTTAGAAAGGAGGGGACCTGGGATTCTAGCTTGGGGTTCTGCTCCCACTAGCCATGTCTATATGAAATACTTTACTGTGCAGTATACTAATCTACTGTGCAGTAAAGCATCACCATCTACATGTGCAGGCACTTACTATGCAGTAAATTAGTCCACTGCGCACTAAATTTACCACTTGCTTATGCATATACAGTAGACTAAAGGTTTTTTTTCTTATAACATCCCATATGCAGGTAGTATATGCAGGTAGTAAATTTATTGTAGACTAATTTACTGTGCAGTAAAGTCAAATAGCATTAACTGCACATGTAGATGTGCCTAGTGATACAGAAACCTCTGCATTGTCCTCCAGCCATTTTTTCCTGTTCCTGTGACTGTATTACAGAGGACATTCATCTCAATTTTAAAGTAAGCAAGCAAGGGCAAGAATTACTTGGCATGACTTAGCAGTAAAGCCTTTATTAAAAATGATAGAGTAGAGAAGAAGCAGAAGTAAAGACTTGATTTAATTAATGCACTAGGTAGGCCACATAAAACAATAATGCCTCAACTACACTCTCCTGTCCTCAATGGCCTGACTTTGCCACTAACTAGACGCCTGTTCTACTGCATGTCTTTGGTCTCATTACAGCTCCTTGTAACACATCTTCACTCCTAGTTCACAGTCCCCTTCCTTCCTCCAAGCAAACTCTTTGCATTTGCAATGGAAGTTTTACTCTGACTCAGCTTGTGTCTGCCTCTTTCTCAGACTTGAGGTAGGGCATTTGATCCTGAAAGCTCTCCCAAATATCTACTTGGTCCAATAAAATATATCACAAAAAACCTAACCTCTAAAGCAAATATGTGAGAAAGGAGCATGGAAGTTTAGAAGGACTACCACCTTTTAGACAGATATTGAAATGAAGTAAGGGGGAAAGGTGAGAAAAAAAAGTGAATGCAAAGAGCAGTCAACAAAATATGTGAGGATGACAAAGACTAGGAATTGGGTTTTCTTGAAGACATTTATGTTAGGAAAGTATTAACAAATCCAAATAAAAATGTTTAAATATAAAAGAGATGATAAACACACGCACTGTACTTTAAAAACTAAAGCAATGAAACCTAAACCTAAAAAAGGAGAGCAGGAAAAAAGCTGCTGACACTAGATAGTACTTAGAAAATATTGGCTTGACCCAGCTGCTGTTGAAGCCAATAAACTTACATTGATCACTGGGGCAGGACTGCTCTTATTGTTAATGCTCATATTGGTCCATACCTTATTCATAATGACTTTTATATACAAAGTGAGTAATCTGTGAAATGGATGCAGTATTTCAACATGAGGAAATTTAAAGTAAAAAATAAAGGATCTAGAACTTGTAGATGTTTAATATTGCTGAAAGAACTGGAATGAGATGACAAAAGGACACAGATATTCAAGGCTGTAGTAACATGAAGGTGAGAATGACTATTCAGTTGTGCAGTGAATGCCAATAGCATTTAGGTTTCCTCAAAGGACTGATGGAAGATGCATTTATAAATAACTGCTGGCATGAGTGAGCAGTCAATTATTACTGGGAGGGACCTCAACAAGAGTCGTGATTCAGAGGTGTATCTGAGTCATAATGCTTCTTACAGCAATTTGTACAGCAGCACAGTTTATGCACTGCTCACTTAGGGTCGCAGCCAGTGTCAGAATCTAATGTTTCACAGACCAGCACTCTTGTGGCATTCTATCTGGTATTAAACTACCTTATATATTAGTTTTTGTGGCTGGGTAGAGGGTCAGTAAAAGGATAATGTCTTGTCTCATGGTGCAAGCTAGTGATCTTCAAGGAATTCTATCACTTATTTAGGGAAAAGCCCAAACCCTGAGACCAAAACACAGAGCTCACTCCACCCAGAACAGTTACTACCTCTCTGGGTCACTAAGTCAGGCTCCTGGCTGCTTCCTCTCATGCTGGTCCTATGATTCTTCCCATTTGGCTGCCTGAACCAGCTGCCACAGGAGGGCTGTTAGGTGATCTCAGTCCTGCCTAGCCTTTATTCTGGTGGTTAAGTTACCCTTCTAGACACCATCACAATGCACACCCCCCTTTTTTAAAAACAGAATCAAGGATACTCTCTCACAGTTAGCTACACTGGTTCAGGTAGCTGTCTCCCTTCTGCTACACATGTGCCCCAGAGAAACGGAATTGCTCAGGAACATGTTTAATGTCAGATAAGCTCTGAAATATTAGCTGCAGAAAAAGTACAGCTAGGTGTTTCACACTGAAGGAGGAACTTTCCAGCTTTAGTCCACTAGTTTTATGATTAGGGCATTTGCTTAGAGAGCAGGAGACCCAGATTCTACTCCCCTCTTTAAAATGAAGCACTGAGCAGTCAGGAAGGAAAGAGAGCTCACTAGGAATGCCTAGCCTATGGCTTAGTGGTCAGATCATTTTGTTTGGACTAAAAAGATGAAGGTTTAAGCCCATTCCAGGAAAGGGAGGCCTAGAACCTTGGTCTTTCACTCACTGACAAGTGCCATACCCATTAATTTAAAAGGTGGGAGAACTAGCAGCCTCTGCCATCACCCTATTTCCAGCAGATGCATGCACAGGGCAAACCTATTCTACCACATGTGCAAACAGAATCCAATCTGTGTGTAAGTGTCAAAAATGACAGTTATGCAGCTACATAATTGCCACGTAGGCAATGTGTCAATGTGACAGAATTTAGCCCTAAGCCCTTAGATGTCTGGCAGGCAGAATAAGATCTAGGCCTCAGTGTCTAGACCAGTGGTTCTCAACCTTTTTGGACTTGAGGCATCTTTCACTGGAGTTGAAGAACCCCTCCATAACTTTTGTGAATTGTGTGGTACCCAATTTAAAAAAAACTAACACATATAACATATTTACTCAAATTTAAGATGAGGGTCCCTCTCCCAATCAATTGTAGATTCACATACAAAGCACACAGGGAGCAGGGGGGATATGGAAGAGGACAGCAACAGCAAGCAGCGGCTGCAGGTCTGATTCTGCCCCTAAACCCAGGTTAGGGCCAGAGTCAGACACACAACAGCCACCTGCCCCACCACCTTCTGCAGCAGCTTCTCCTCCCTCTATCCTCTTCCCCCCACTTGCTGTCAGGTGCAGCTCAGCTCCAGCTTCAGTTACATTCTCTCCTAGGCATGGAGTACATGGATACTTTGTCCCCTGCCCAGCAAATGGGCAGCACTGACACTGTTGTGTGGCCCAGCAGGGACTGTGGTTCCACGTACTGTGCTTTGTAATCTGGGAGTGAATAGAGTTCCAAGCAGCACCTGACAGTATTGGAGGAGGAGCAGAGAGGGGAGGGGGCAGGCTGTGGGGAGTTAGGGGTAGCATGGGGGTAGGAAGGCTGCAGGGGGAACAAGTGTGGGGGTCGGCAGAGGGCAAGGGGACTGCCTGACCCCCCCCCAAGTCACTGACTTCCCTGCTGTAGCAGTGGGTAGGAGTGGGGAGATAAATTGAACAGAATCTTCCAGTAATTAGATTCTATACCTGGAAAACTATAACAAATTTATAAATTTCCCGTATAGAACCTAATTACTGGAAG